ACACACACACACACACACACACACACACATATATATATATATATATATATATATATATTTGCTAGCATAACAATTAATAAAACTCTTTTCGTTTTCGCCTTTTTTCGTTACTTTTGTATTAATCCAATTATATTTTTTACTTATTTTATTATATTATTGCTACTATTAACTAACAATGAAGACACATTAAATGTTATTTTATTCTAAACCTTTTTTAAACTATACATTTAAAATTGTTATTTTTTTTCACCCCATTAAGCAAGTTTCTTTTATTACAATTAATTAATTATCATTTGTGGCATAACCAAGCTTTGTAATGATTTGCACACAAATGTTACAATAATAATTTCAATATTTTTTTATCCAATTAATGATAATTGACTAAGATTGTATAAATTTAAAGATTAATATGTAGGTTAAATAGTTTATATTTATATCGTTATTATAGTAATATGATAACATTTATAGATGTGATACGCTTATGATCTAATTTATGATTTTTAAATTTTACATAAAACATACATATATATATAATATGTAATATATATAATTTTATTTGTATTTGTGCATGTGCACAGGGTAGAGTACTACTATATTATAATTGTTGGTAAAAGGATTATGACAATTGTTCTGCTCTTTTCTGTTACATTTTACTAGTACGAATCTCGTGCGATGTACGGGTAAGAAATATTTATTAATATTTATAAATTATAAATGCTCATTAAATAATATTTATAAATTAAAATATGGAATCAATATGTAATGCAATTTACCTATATTATTTGTTGAAATGTTATATGAAATTTAAATTGTGCAAATTACATAAAAATTGTATATTTAAAATTAGTACACGACTCGTATGGTGCAAGTAACTAGTAATAAGTTACATTATATGCACTTAAGAAATAGACGTCATTTTAAAATTTTTATTCAGAAATTTAATCTGACTACAATGTGATTTAAATACAAATAAACTTTTATACGCACACAAACACACATACACCAAATAATTTGATATGCTCCACACACATTTACAAAGAAAAATAAACCATAGTATTATCCAAATTTTTCTTTCAATAATATCTAGTAAAATACTTAGCAATATGGAAAAAAAAAATATGGAGATACCATTTATTACCATAAGCGGGTATAGTAGATGAAGACTAAATTTCATATTTAATACACTATGTTGGTCATTTTCACAAAAGGGTCCATCATATAGGGTGTCATCAAGAATGGTCCACTAAATCTTCATTTTAAATCAAAATACGTACATTAGCCAACATAGTGTACTAAAAATGATGATCACTTTCAATATACTATGTTGATTTTTGTACGAATAATGATTAAAAGTGACAACTTAGTGGACCATTGTTGATGATGCACTATATGATGGATCTTTTTTCGAAAAATGACCAACATAGTTCGATTTCATACATTATAGTATACCAAATAGTATACCAAATATATAGTGGACCATTTTTGAAATTTTCCATTGGATCAATATATAGTATACCAAATAGTGCGATTTATTATCGATAAAATACAAAAAATGAGATTCAGTTTAACCACAAAATTAATTGCCCAGTGTATAAAACAAAATCAAGACTCGCGTTTATTCTAGGTAAAAAAAAAAAGACCCAAAAAAGAGTTATTAAAAAACATTTAAATAGAAATAGTCATTAGCACAATTATTTTTGAATAATTTTGTAAGAAATTATAATTGAATAAATCAACTGAACTTACACGATCTGCGTAATTAGAGTATCTAAAACATATAAATTCTTATTGTCTAATTATTTCTTTAATTATCCACAATTTGAGCAATTAAATACACAAAAAATGAATATCATTTACTAAATAATATATAAATAAAAATTGTCAGTAACACAATTTTTTAAAACAATTTTTGCAAACTGCATAATTAATTAATATTGTGGATATTTTCATAATTGTAGTAATTATTTACAGATTGAATAAATCAGTCGAATTTATACAATTCGCGTATTTAAGGTATATTAAAAATGTATTTCACACAAAAAATATATGAAAAATATAAAACACTTACTAAACAATAAATTAAACAATTTAGTTGGAATTGTTTTTACCAAAACACATAATTGATATTGCAGCCAAAATTCCAATATTTGAGTAAATCAGTCAATTCACACTAATAACCCTTCAACATTTAGGCATCATTTGGATGTTAGGGAATCTATATAAAATTAACAGATTGAACCTCTTTCCAAGTTTGACTCGTCAAATTTGTCAATTAACTTATTTAATTAAATTTTAACCTAAAATGCTAATTGTGAGAAACTCAACATAACAGTGTTTTGAAAAGAGGAGATTCGTTGAACAACATATGAACATAAAATTTCGAAAATAATCATACAATTCGATTTTAACTAGATAAATATTTAGAAACACTTAATATAAGTCGCAATCAGCTATCCGAACATTTAGAACATTTTCTTCCTAAACAGAAATGACGTTTTCAAATAGTTCTCGATCGATTACGTGTTAAAAAAAGTATTGGATTGATTTGGACTATTTATCTTAAAAGGTAATTGACTTTTACTTTCCCAATTGAAATACTATGATTATTATAGAAATAAATATATGACAGCCCTACACTATATATATATTTATAACTACCTTTAAATACGTTCACAATGAGTTAAAAATAATTTGGTTCACTTCGTAAGTTGAAGACACATGCCACGTTTGGTGATTTCCATGTAAATGGAAATTAAACATCAAATTATATAATGTGATCGATGTCCATTTTGCACGGCAGACACATTAAATACAAAAATATGTTATATTATCATTTAGTTCGCTCTACGAAATGAATAAATTTCCTAATTCATTAGTACTATTTCTTTATATTGCGATTAATTTTAGGTGAAATCAATGTATTGTTTGGAAATAAATTTTAACAAAAATGTCATGTACATTATGAATGAAATAAAGTATAATTTTTTTTTTGTATAAATTTGATGCATATATATTGACGTTTAACTTTGGATAAAAGTAAAATCAATAAGATGGTTATTTTTTTAATATATATATATATATATATGCACTCTTATATTAAATGCCATACTTTTATATATAATATAAATAAAAATATGACATTTAAGTATGACTATTTTTTTAAGAAAATAATATGACTAGCATAACTACAACAACCTTTCCGAAGTAATATATAATATAGAGAGATACTACGATTTCGTTACGGGACCATTCCGTCAGGGTTTCTAACTTTGGATCAACTGTTCCTACAGTTACATTATAAGCTAACGGTTACAAATTTTGACAGAATAGTTTTGTAACGGGACCGTAACATTTCCTTATAATATGTACTAGTACAATACCCGTGTACAACACGGGTGTTGAGTTAAAAAATAAATGATAAAAGTTATTTATGTCTAATACCAATATCAAACTTAACTCAAGAGCAAAAATAATATAAAAACAACACCACGAATCACGCCATGTCAGCATCTGAAACGTGATAATCTGCCATATACGCTCAACACGTTTTTTATTAATATATAGGGAGGGATTGTGTAAAAAAAATAAAAATATATGTTAAGGTTAACATCTACTTAAAGTTATTATTATGCTTGGTAAACATAGGATACACAGTTTATAGGGAGATACTACGGTCTCGTTACGGTACCATCCCGTCGGTTGTTTTAACCGTTAGATCTACGTGTAGTTAGATAAGATCGATGATCCAACGGTTAAAACACCCGACGGGATGGTATTTCCCCAGTTTATAAATTATTTAATAAGTTAAAAAATATAAGCTACTTTTATTTTAATACTATACTATACTTTTTAACTGTGGGACCCAACTAATCCCAAACACACACCCAAATTCGGCTTAAATTCAACTCAAATTAACTAATCATAAAACCAAAAAAAAAAAAAAAACAATAGTAGAATAAAAAATCTTCCACTTAATGCACACAGTCCCACACTCCATTTTTCTATCGTCTCCATCTCTCTCTGCACCACTCACCTCTCTCTCTCTCTCTCTCTCTCTCTCTCTCTCAAAATCCCGCAAGAACCATAAAAAGATCACATGAATTTGAATTGATCAACGCTAATTGTCAATTTCGTTTTACTTCAGCTCCTTTCTAATCTCTGCCGATGAATCTATGGAGCACCGCTGCTGCGGCGGCGGAGGGAGACGCCGCCGTGATGGAGGCGTTCATGTCCCAAGCTTCTGATCCGTCTTCCTTCTGGCCCACATCTGTTATTTCCCCGCAGGCCCCTTTTGCCGTGGCTTCCTCTCCTTCCCCGCATCATCCGCCGCCCGCCGGAGACCAACCGGGGACCTACGCCGGCGCCGGCGCCCAGTTGAATCAGGAAAACCTCCAGCAGCGCCTGCTGGCCCTGATTGAAGGCGCTCGCGACACCTGGACATACGCCATCTTCTGGCAGTCTTCGACCGTTGACTACGGCGGCTCGCCGGTGCTGGGCTGGAGCGACGGCTTCTACAAGGGGGAGGAGGACAAGGCCAAGCGCCGGACCGCATCGTCCCCGTCCGAGCAGGAACACCGGAAGAGGGTCCTCCGGGAACTCAATTCCCTGGTCTCCGGCCCTCAGGCCGTCGCCGAAGACGCCGTCGACGAGGAGGTCACCGACACCGAGTGGTTCTTTCTCATATCCATGACCCAGTCCTTCGTCTCCGGGTCCGGCATCCCGGGCCAGGCTCTGTACTCCTCGAGCCCTATCTGGGTCACTGGGCCCGAAAGGCTCGCCACCTACCCCTGCGGCCGGGCCCGCCAGGCCCACGAGTTCGGCCTCCAGACCCTCGTCTGCATACCCTCCTCCACCGGCGTCGTCGAGCTCGGCTCCACCGAAGTAATCTTCCAGAGCTCGGATCTCACCAGGAGAGTGAAAACCCTGTTCAATTTCGACCGACCCAAATCCGGCCCTGCCTCCTGGACCCCGCCGGACCACGACCCGGCCACCCTCTGGATGGCCGACCCCTCCTCCTCCGCCGCCGCCGCCATGGATCTGAGGGATCCACTAAATAACAATAACATCACCACCACCGCCACCACCGCCGCCACCGCCGCCGCCGCCGCCGCCGGCCACCCGACCCAAGTAATTCCCAATTCCCAAATCGCTCTATTAGGCGACCAAGTCCCCAGTCCCGGCGCGTTAACCCACGCGCCCCTCCCCGTCAAGGATCTCAACTTCTCCGAATTCAGGCTCAACGAGACCACCCCATGCCTCCAGAACACCGGTCCCTGCAAGCCCGAATCAGGAGAGATACTCAACTTCCGCAACATCAGCCCGTTCCAGCCCCACGTCGAGCAAATCAACAACAACCCTAGCCGAAAGAAAGGATCCTCCGCCATCTCCCGATGCAGCATCAACAACAACCACAACAATGACGAAGGCATGCTTTCCTTCACCTCCGGCGCCATCGTCAAAATCGACGACAGCTGCACCATAATCGACTCTGACCAATCGGACCTCGAGCCCTCCACGGTTCGTGAAGCCGAGAGCAACCTAGCCGCCGCCGCCAGTGCAATCCCCTCTCCGCCGGAGAAGAAGCCCCGGAAGCGCGGCCGGAAGCCGGCCAACGGTCGGGAGGAGCCCCTCAACCACGTGGAGGCCGAACGGCAGAGGCGGGAGAAGCTCAACCAGAGATTCTACGCCCTCCGAGCCGTTGTCCCCAACGTGTCCAAGATGGACAAGGCTTCCCTTCTCGCCGACGCCATCTCGTACATCAACGACCTCAAGTCGAGGCTCCTGGCGGCAGAGGCCGACCGGGAGGACCTCCGGCGGCAGCTCGAGCCGCACGGGAATCAAGAAGTTGGCTCCGGACGTGGTGGGGTTGGGTTCGGGGATGTCGAGGTTGAAGTGAAGATCATGGGACGGGATGCCATGATTCGGGTGCAATGTGGGAAGAGGAACCACCCGGCGGCTAAGCTGATGTTGGCGCTTCGGGAGCTCGATTTAGACGTGCACCACGCCAGCGTGTCGGTTGTCAACGACATTATGATACAGCAAGCGACGGTAAAGATGGACAGTCGGTTTTTCACGCAGGAACAACTCAAGGGGGCTCTCGTCTCAAGGTTCGGCGAGGCCCGGTGAGGAAAATAGGTTTTTTTTTTT